GAGTGCCAGGGCCAGGAAGAGCCCCAGCGAGATGCTGTGTGGTTGGAACGCAGGCGTTCAGTATAGTTCTAGGAGATCTGGCCAAAGAAAACAGATCAAGGCCATTATGCTTTCCTGGTGAAGAATGTAAATGTTACTTAAAGTGCAAAGGGGAAACAATTACGCGTTTAAATAAAAACTAAAGCTGATTTGCATTTTAAAATGTTATCCTGGGTGTGGTTATCCAGAAAAGAATGGAAGGGGAACAAGGCAGGATGTGGACTTGACCTGGAGGGTGGAGGTGGCCTTGGAGGTGCTGTGTGGCTTGTAGACTATAGTATAGTGATAGTCACTGTACTAACGGAGCCAAGGAAAGAGAAAGCGAGGAACACCCGTGAGCCTGAGCTGGCGCTTCCCAGCAGGTATCGCTGAATAGTCAACAGTAACTATTTCCTGAAGGGGAAGAAAGGGAGAAGGGAGAGTTCTGTTTGGCCTTGTTAAATTTCACATGCTTCTTAGACACTGAAGTGAAAATTCAGTATAGATATATGAAGATGAAATATAAATTGGGGAATTACATATAGAATTCATGTTGTTTTACAATCTTCATAGCCTTAGGGTGGATCCGCGTTTAAAACAATTATGTGAAAAACAACAACCCCAAAACAATTATGTGTATTACAAGAAACAGACAACTGAAATGTCTGTACACTATCTTAGTTTTGCTTGTGCACTGTAACTTCAGTGCAATTCTGAAAGTGAAATTGCTAAGTTTATGCGCATTTTTACTTTTTGCATTTTACATTTTGAAAGGGGCCTAAATCCTCAGAAATGTTTGCACCTCTCTAGGCTTGCAACGCTGGCCAACATTGGCCATTAGCACACTTTAATTTCTGCCAATCTAATCGTAGAAAAAAGGGATCTCATGATTTCAACTTGTATTTCTTAAGAGTAAAACTGAGCTGCTTCATATTGGCCTTTCTTCGTGCTCTCTGACTTTGAAGCTGTGTACTGGGTCCCCTGGGTCCTCCTAGTGCCAGACTCGGGTCCGAGTTTGGCGTGGTCAAGATGCGGGCCCGCTGTTGGCAGGGATGCGCGTTTCCTCCTGCGCCCTGCGCGCCTGGCGGGGGCCCGGCCCGGAGGTGCTGCGGTGAGAAGAGGCTTGGGGAGGCGTAGGAAGGATGATCAGCTTCCATCGCGCCCCGGACTGACCCCGGGAATCCCCGAATTCCCGCGGGGGATCCTGGCTTCCCTCCCGCGTGGTTTCAAAAGTTGTGAAACTCCCGAGGGTCCCAGCCCATGGCCGCCCTG